ACCAAGGTAGAATGTAGAACATTGTCTTTATAAACTGTGTTATGCCAACTAAGCTAGATGTTCCCCAACACTGTGGTTCCCACAGCCCTCCGCCCAGCAATTCAGTCCCTCAGGGAGTTTGGAAGTATCTATGGAGCTTCCATGACCTTTCCTTGTACAAGCTGTGCTGGTTTCCCCAGTATTGTGTACTGTATCCACACATAAAACTTTTAATGAAAAGTGAAAAAAAAAGGAAAAAAATTAAGTTATTTAATTGTCACACTGCTAAAATGTTTTACATCAAAAAATAATGATAATTTAATATATGTAATATAGCCTCTTTCTTCTCCACAAGTAAAAAGATTTTCTTTAAAAACACATACCTCTTTCCTTGTTTACTTTGTTCAAGTAAGTCCACCTTCAACTTTATACATTCCTCTTGAGACTTCTGCAAACTCTGTTCCTTTTCAATTACCATTTTCTGGCTCTGCTCTAATTTATCTTCTGCTTCTCTATAAAACAAAGGATATTTTAAAAGGCTGTTAAAGAGATCACACCAGGTATGCAAAATAAGTCAATGAATTAAGAGAAACAAGTATGTAATGATAAGAGACAGAGAAAAGGCATCATATTCATCACTTGTAAACTAAGAGTTTTTATACAGAACAAAAGAATCCTTCCATGAAATGATAAACTCATCTGATGCAACAGCTCACTTCATATTTCATGGTCAGATATAAGATGCATTGTCAAGTAGTTCTGAAACCAGATAAGGATAACTGTTATCAACACTACATCCTAAGACTAATCTGACAATTCGACTCAATGCAAAAAGGCAAAAACAAAAAAGTTATATGAAGTATAAATATTAGAAAGGAAAGACAAAATATTCTTTATTTGCTGATAATATCACTATCTACATGGAAAACCTAAGAAAATCAAAACGAAAAATTATTAGAATAAAAGAGTGACAAACAGTCCCCCCGCAAAAAAGAACTATATTATACAAAAACCGGCATTCCTATATACTAGTAATGAACGAAACGGGGAAAATATACAACAACCAAAAATATGAACTATCTAGGAATAAACTTAATATATGCATTACAAAGAAAATTATAAAACTCTGATGGACACGAAAGACAATCTTAGGGTGCATCAGAATCACACTTGTTAGAACACAGATTGCTGGGTCCCATTCCTCAGTTTTTCTGATCCAGAGTCTGAGGTGGGACATGCGAATATGCATTTCTACCAAGTTCCCAGATAATGGCTGATGATGGTGCTGCTGGTCCTTTGAGAATCACTCAAATAGAGTAATATGCTATTTTGTATGCATATATTTTCCATTTTATTCAAAGCAGAAGAGGAAGATAAATTATAAAGTGTCTGATTCCTTGTATTTTATTTCTTAAACACCTATTGAAGCACTGAGCATATACTGCTATGTAGAGTCAAGAAAACTAACTAATTAAAATATAATAAAAGCATATAAATAAGAATCTCAGCGTAGATTGAGTCTTTTTTAGCCCCATATAGTGTATGCAACCTGCAGCCAAAAGGAGGTATGACGGACCAAAAACTGCCACTTCAGGCAAGTTAGATTCAACAAGTTCTAAGACACCTAGACACTATTAGGCCACTACAGATTTACTGGGGTGGGGAAGGGGCAAGATTTATCAAGATATAACAAAAAGTAGAAGTTAGGAAAGAAAATTTTAAAAGTTATAAAAAGTATTCATAAAGATAATGTTCTACATCCTAGTTTGGTGAGTAGCATCTGGAGTCTTAAGAGCTTGCAAGCGGTCATCTAAGATACAACTATTGGTCTCTACTCTTCTGGAGCAAAAGAGACAATGCAGGAAACCGAAGACTCAAAGAAAAAACTACTCCACAGGACTAACAGCCCACACGAACCATGGCCTCTTCTAGCCTGACACCAGAAAAACTAGATAGTGCCTGCTACCACTACTGACCATTCTGACCTGGGACACAATAAAGGTCCCAGATAAAACAGGAGAAAAATGTACAACAAAATTCAAATTCCTAAAAGGCCAGACCTACTGGACCAACAGAGACTAGAAGAACCCCAAAAATATCACCCTAAGAAACCCTTTGAACTTGGAATGGAAGCTATTTCTGGAGGTCACCTTTCAGCCAAAAATAGATTGGCTTATAAAATAAACAATATCACTCAACTATATGATACCAGACGGTCAACATTTACCCAAAAGCAAAGATGAGAAGGCAACGAGGGGAAGAGAAGTTAGATCATGGAAAGAGAACAAACAATAGAAATAATGAGAATGCTGACACATTGTGAAAATCGTAAGCAATTTCATGGAACAATTTGTATACAAATTGTTAAATGGAAACCTAATTTGCTATGTAAATTTCCACTTAAAACACAATAAAATAAAATAAGTTATAAAAAGTACATTACCTCAAAACTTTATCTTGGGCTGAAACTTCTGCTTCCAAATTTATAATCTGTTCTTCTAAGATTGGGACATTTGCTGCCTGTTGTTGAGCAGACTCAAGCATAGAAACCTAAAACATAAGAACAATTTTAAAACACTTACTTTCAAAAAATATATTAATCTAGTTGGTCCTTAGTTTCTTTCACTGTCAGATAAGGAGGTTAAATAGGACTGCCCAGTCAGTGGTCAAATATAAAGCTCATCCTAGCTATTCTTTTGATAAACATTTACACGGGCATATCATCATCTCAAGTTAAGATTTAGCATCTAAGCTCCCGCCATTACCCCCTATTTAATATCCAGGATAACTGGTTAGCTATTTGGGAAAAAAAAAAATCTCTGATGCAATCTAGAAAGATAAATTTCCCATGAATTAAAGAATCAAATGTAAAACATCAAACTATTAAAAAACATAATACTTTTTGACTCTTTTTACTATTAAAAACCTAATTTTAGAATATATGCTTACTAGAGAAAACCCAGAAAATACAGAAAAGCACAGTAATCCTACCGTCTTGAAGATGAAGACAGTACAATTATTTAGCAAGGTGGGAATCCACAACCTAAACAGTGTGGAAGAGATTATCAGTAGGAGAACTAATTATCTCTGATGAAGCTTAACTTGGAAGCACAAGATAAAGTGGAGGGCAGAGGTGAGGTCCAAGATGAAAAACCAGGGATACAGTTCAAAGTCTCTGTAGATTCAATTAACACTCATTCTTCCACTCCCAAAACACCAGCAGCCAGGTGCCTACCTACCAGGGAAATCCCAAGCCCCTCCTGTCCAATCTCTCCATTTATTATCTGGGGAAATTAGACAGGAGAGTCTTGGGATTTTGGGACACTAGGTAGAATGATGGGCAAGTATGAAGTGGAGCTATAAATAGGGGTATTAATATAAGACAGTGAGCCCCTAACTTCTTACTCTATTTCATTCAGGGCTATCCCATAGGTGGGAAATGAAAGGATTCTTTGCTGGAGAAACTCAACAGTTGCAAAGAAAAAACTGTCACATAATGATACTGGTTGGGGAGGCGGCAGTGTCTCCCTACAAAACAGCCACCTCCCCAACCATCACCCAAAAATGAACCACACTTGACAATAAATTTCACCACTGCACACAGAGCTTCCGAACAGTGTTTAAGTAACTTTCCCTTAAAATATAATTAGCCAATACAGTAACATCTACAGAAAGCTTCTAAAATGAAAGTCAGAGGCCAAAACAAAGAAAAAAGTAACTGGGAGGCAGCAAGACAGACAGACACAGACACAGACACACAGACACAGACACACACAGACACACACACACACACACACCATTAAATCTTCAGAGATAAGAAAGGATACTGCATCTGGATGTTGTTAAATATGAAGCAAAAAAAATTAGCAAACAAGAAAAGCTCTCTAAAACCAACAAACAAAAAAAGTAAGTGAGAGAGGCAGAGGGCCAAAATAAAAGATACAATAGAAGTGTTGAAGATAATGTTGAGGAAATCTCCTAAAAGCTATAACCAAAAGATAAGTAGATAGAAAATACCAGAGAGAACTTAAAAGATTTAGAAGACAAACCCAAGTGGTCCAACCTTTACTAACAGGAAAGATAGAAGAAAATTATATCAAAAAAAAAGTAAGATCCTCAGAAAGCTAGAAATAGACATACCATTCGATCCAGCAATTCCACTCCTAGGAATATATCCTAGAGAAATAAGAGTCGTCACTCGAACAGACATATGCACACCTATGTTCGTGGCAGCATTGTTCACAATAGCAAAATGATGGAAACAACCTAGAAGCCCATCAACAGATGAATGGATAAACAAACTATGGTACATACACACAATGGAGTACTATGCAACGAGAAAGAACAACAATGGATCTGTGAAGCATCTCATAACATGGATGAAACTGGAGGACATTATGCTGAGTGAAATAAGTCAATCACAAAAGGACAAATATTGTATGAGACGTCTATTGTAAAAACCCATGAAAAAGTTCACACACAAAATGTAACAATCTTTGTTGGTTACCAGGGATGGGAGGGGTGGGGGGGAAATACCAAACAGGCAATAGATAAGTGGTATCTTGGGTGAAGGGTGAGACAGTACACAATACAGGGGAAACTACCACAACTTGTACAAGGAAAGGTCATGGAAGCCCCATAGACACATCCAAACTTCCTGAGGGACTGAATTGCTGGGCGGAGGGCTGTGGGGACCATGGTCTCGGGGAACATCTAGCTCAACTGGCATAACACAGCTTATAAAGACAATGCTCTACATTCTACCTTGATGAGTAGTGTCTGGGGTCTTAAAAGCCTGTGAGTGGCCATCTAAGATACTCCACTTGTCTCATCCCTTCGGGAGCAAGGGAGAATGAAGAGAACAGGACACAAGGAAAAGATTAGTCCGAACGACTAATTGTCCACAGCTACCAAGGCCTCCACCGGACTGAGTCCAGTATAGCTAGATGGTGCCCAGCTACCACCACTGACTGCTCTGACCAGGATCACAACAGAGTGTCCCGGACAGAGCTGGAGAAGGATGTAGAATGAAATTCTAACTCACAAAAAAAAGACCAGATTTACTGGCCTAAAGGAGACTGGAGAAACCCCGAGAGTATGGCCCCCAGACACCCTTTTAGCTTAGTGGTGAAGTTATCTCCGACGTTCACCGTTCAGCCCGGGAGTGGACAGCCCCATAAAACCAAATGAGACTAACGAGGTACAGGAGTCCAGTGACAAGGGCCAGAAGGCAGAAGGGGACAAGGAAGCTGGTGATAGGGAACCCAAGGTTGGGTAAGGATATTGTTGATGTGTTGTGAGATTGTTAACCATTGTCATAGGGCAACATTTGTAGTAACTGTTAAATGAAAAACTATTTTGTTCTGTAAGCCTTCATCTTAAGTGAGAATAACAGCACAACTGGAAGAGCGTAGTCAATGTCACTGAATTGTGCATGTAGGAATTTTTGAAATGGTGTATCTTTGACTATGTGTATTTTCACCAAAAAAAAAGGTTGAGAAGTTAGAGGGTTGACATGTGGGGTTGTTAACCAATGTCATAAAACAATATGTGTACTACTGTTTCATGAGATACTATTTGTTCTGTAAGCCTTCACCTGAAGTACAATTAAAAAAAAAAAAAAAAAACCCTAAGAAAAATATCCAGGACCAAAGGCCATAAGTTTCCAGCCTGAAAGGGCCCTTGTGTGTCCAGCACAAAGAATAAGGAACATCACTGTGAAAATTTAAAATACCAGGGAAAGAGGCAAGAACCTAAAAGCTACCATGAAGGGAAAAACAATACAAAAACAGATCACATGCTAAGGAAAGTATTCACACTGGCATCAGACTTTTCTGGGCAGCACTGGAGGCTAGACAAGAGAGCCAGGCCCTAAAATGTCTGTGATGAAATTATTTTCAACCTCGAATTTAATCAAGTATGGGGAGAAATTAAGAAATTTTTAGGCAGGCAAGGAAGCTACTGGGAGATATGCTCCAATTAAAGAAAGAGAAAACCAAGAAAGAAGACACGGGATCCAGCTTAGGAGATGATCAAAGAAAAGTCCCAGGATGGCAGGTGGACAGCAAGCCTGCAGGCAATAACCTCAAAAGAACAGGAGGCCAGGCTCCAGAAGTGCAATCACAAGCATTGCCAAAAAGTAAATTCTGAATATACTGATTAATACAATAGGGAATTTCAGCAAAAGACTTCCAGTAGTGGCACACATGCAACACCAAAAGCTCAGATGGGAAGTAGAATACAAATATCTGGGTTGAAAGTGAGCAAAATGTTATTAGTTATTATTAATTAAACACTCTTTGTATCCCTTTTGTCTTGAAATAATTACTCATCTATGACTTTAAAATGATAGATTATCCATAGTTGATGAGCAATTAAAAATATAAGACCCTAATTAATATATCTCAAGAACAGATGTGACATGTTGAACACTAATGACCAAAGACCAGACAAGTTGTGGAATGATATCAAGGACACCATACATGAAGAAAGTGAAAAGTCATTAAAAAGACAGGAAAGACCAAAATGGATGTCAGAAGAGACTCTGAAACTTGTTCTTGAATGTCAAGTAGCTAAAGCAAAAAGAAGAAATGATGAAGTAAAAGAACCGAACAGAAGATTCCAAAGGGTGGCTCGAGAAGACAAAGCAAAGTATTATAATGACACATGCAAAGAGCTGGAGATAGAAAACCAAAAAGCAAGAACATGCTTGGCATTTCTCAAGCTGAAAGGACTGAAGAAAAACTTTAAGCCTTGAGTTGCAATACTGAAGGATTCTATAGACAAAATATTGAACGACGCAGGGAGCATCAAAAGAAGATGGAAGGAATGCACAGAATAACTGCACCAAAAAGAACTGGTCGATGTTCAACCATTTCAAGAGGCAGCATATAATCAGGAACCGATGATACTGAAGGAAGAAGTCCAAGCTGCACTGGAGGCACTGGTGAAAAACAAGGCTCCAGGAACTGACGGAATATCAATTGAGATGTTTCAACAAACAGATGCAGTGCTAGAAGTGCTCACTCGCCTATGCCAGGAAGTTTGGAAGACAGCTACTTGACCAATTGACTGGAAGAGAACCAAATTTATGCCTATTCCCAAGAAAAGTGATCCAACTGAACGTGGAAATTATCGAACAATATCATTAATACCACACTCAAGTAAAATTTTGCTGAAGATCATTCAAAAGCAGTTACAGCAGTATATCGACAGGGAACTGCCAGAAATTCAAGCCAGATTTAGAAGGGGATGTGGAATCAGGGATATCATTGCTGATGTCAGATGGATCCTGACTGAAAGCAGAAAATACCAGAAAGATGTTTACCTGTGTTTTATTGACTATGCAAAGGCATTCGACTGTGTGGATCATAACAAATTATGGATAACATCGCGAAGAATGGGAATTCCAGAACACTTGATTGTGCTCATGAGGAACCTGTACATAAATCAAGAGGGAGTCATTCTAACAGAACAAAGGGATATTACGTGGTTTAAAGTCAGGAAAAGGTGTGCATCAGGACTGTATCCTTTCACCATACCTATTCAATCTGTATGCAGAGCAAATAATCCGAGAAGCTGGACTATATGAAGAAGAGTAGGGCATCAGGATTGGAGGAAGACTCATTAACAACCTGTTATGCAGATGACACAACCTTGCTTGCTGAAAGTGAAGATGACTTCAAGCTCTTACTGATGAAGATCAAAGACCATAGCCTTCAGTATGGATTACACCTCAACATAAAGAAAACAAAAATCCTCACAACTGGACCAATAGGCAACATCATGAAAAACAGGGAAAAGACTGAAGTTGTCAAGGATTTCATTTTACTTGGATCCACAATCGACACCCATGGAAGCAGCAGTCAAGAAATCAAATTTGCATTGGGCAAATCTGCTGCAAAAGACCTCTTTAAAGTGTTAAAGAAGAAAAGATTTCACCTTGAGGACTAAGGTGTGCCTGACCCAAGCCATGGTATTTTCAATCACATCATATGCATGTGAAAGCTGGACAGTGAGTAAGGAAGACTGAAGAAGAACTGACGCCTTTGAATTGTGGTGTTGGAGAAGAATACAGAACATACCATGGACTGCCAAAAGAATAAACAAATCTGTCTCGGAAGTACAACCAGAACGCTCCTTAGAAGCAAGGATGGTGAGACTATATCTTACATACTCCGCTGTCAGAAGAGATCAGTCCCTGGAGAAGGACATCACGCTTGGTAAAGTACAGGGTCAGCGAAAAAGAGGAAAACCCTTAAGGAGATGGATTGACACAGTTGCTGCAACAATGGGCTCAAGCATAACGACTGTAAGCATGGCGCAAGACAGGGAAGTGTTTCGTTCTCTAGTATAAAGGGTTGCTATGAGTCAGAACCGACTCGATCGTACCTAAGAACAACAACAAATTAAAACACAGAAAAGATAAGCAAACAAATCTAAAAAGCAAACAAATACACTGAAAAGTTAAATCTCATGAGAAATAAAAACAAAATAATATTTTCTCTCTAATAAAAAATATAGAGAATACTGAGTGTAGACAGAGTGGAATAAATGCTGAAAAATATTCTTTCCCTGTGATTTGGTCATTCTGCCTCTGGAAATCTATCCTAGAAATAATCCCAAACACCAAAAAATTCTTATGTTCATTGCAGTATTTTTTTTCTCCTTGGTCTGGACTTATCCCCAATAGCATTTTGTTTTGTCTGAAAGACAGAAAAGGAAAATAAAGCTCTCTCACAATTCTACTAGTTAAAACAATGTATCTATAAAAGTAAAGAGTGAAAGCTCCACTCCAACCTCCAATCTTTCTCAAAATTATTAACAAGAGTGTGGAGTATATACAGTCTATCTTTACAAAGGTCACATATATATTTACATACATACAACGACACAAACATAGACACATGTGCACTTATTATAAAAAGCAAAACTAGGAGATTATATAAATATACAGTTCTGAAACACTTTTCTACTACTGTATATATCAGGTAACAGTTTTTGAGTGCTATGTGCAGACATTGTTCGAAGTGCCTTTAAGTAGTTACATCATTTAAACTCACAGCAGTTGCATAAAGGTCGTCAAACAAATTTGCATCTTAATACTGATATATTTACCTCGTTTAAAATAGATTTCTAGCAATACATTGTATGGATACATAATAATCTACTTTACCATTCCTATATTATTGGACATTTTGTTTTTTTCTAATTTTTTTGTATAACACTATATAACAAAATATAGGAAACTACTTAAATAGGGGAATTATTAACTAAATTATAATCACATAAGGAAATGTTATGCTACCATAAAAAATAATTAGTAAAATTTACATAACAACATCAGAAAATGTAAAGTAAAAAACAGGAAAAACCAAAATTATTCAAACAGTCTGAATTTAACTATGTAATAAACCAATAATGGTAGTCTCTGGAAGGTGGAAACTGAGTAATTTTCCTTCATCTTCTTTTTTTAAAAATTTCAACAGAAACGTATTATTTTAAAAAGGAACATAAGTTATACTTCCTCTGCATAATATATAAAACTGCACAAATAAGCAATCTTAAGATTTTCTCCAAAGCTGATTTATCCAGATGCCAAGACTACACAAGCTCCCCTAAATCACTTTCAGGTATAAAATTCACATAAAATTTTGATTCCATGTGTTGATATTATCATAATAAAATTACTACATCTAACATATTAAGGCAGTACAAGGAATACTTTTCCAAATATAAATCATAAAATGATTACAATTACTTTGATGACATACTATCACTTCAAGATACATACTTTTGCTTTTGATTGTGTTAATTCAAAGTGGATGGATTCTACTTTAGTCATTAAAGAATGATTCTGTGACACCAAACAAGCATTCTGTTGCCTAAGTTTATTAAGTTTCTCTCGAAGGCTTTTGATTTCCTGGTCCATAGGGGTAGAAAATGCAAAAGACACCTGAAAATGAGAAAGAATAATCTGTTTTGGATTATTTAAGCATTGCATATAATTAATGAAAAATGACTAAGCAGCCCACAAAATGACGAGTTAAAAGAGTTGGCAAGGATGTGAGGCAGTAAGTACTCTCTTCCACTAGTGGTCAAAGTGTACATAAGCACAACTTGGAAAACAGTGGCACACTCTGAAAAATGACTTGGTACTACCCTGTAAACTTGAACATGCTGAGACCCAACAATATCGCTCCTGGTATAAATCTGCTAGAAACTTTTGTACTTTTGCACTTAAAAGATATAACTACATTGTCCATTATTATTGTTAGCTGCTGGCGAGTCAGCCCCCAACACAGTGACCCCACGTTACACAGTAGAACTGCTCCATAGGGTTTTCTTGGCTGTAATTTTTATGGAAGCCATTTGCCAGGCCTTTCTTATTTCCATTCACTGTCTCTTATGGACACTGGCATAAGAAACAGTAAATGGAAATAACCCAAATGTTCACCAACGATAAAATGGATGATAAATTATACTTTAAGCTGTAGAAATGTATTTTTATGTTATTTTCATTTTACTGAGCGTTGGGACTTTTAAAACATTTCTTTACATTAATTTTATTATTTTGAAAAAGTAACATATTTACGCAATTAAAAGTCAAAACTATATAAAAATACACATGAAGTCTCACTCCCATTCTTACTAGGTAGACAACTTTTTTTACTATTTTCTTCTTTAGTCTTCTAGTGTTTACACATGCATATATAAGCAATGCAAAATAATTCTTCCTGCCTCCTTCTAAAAAAATGAGAATACATACCATCCTGTACCTCACATTTTTTTTGAACAATATATCCTGGCAATCTCTCCAAAATCAATACACTGAGAAACTCCTTTATTCCCCCCCTCAGCTGAATAGTTTCCACTGCATGGATCAATCAGTTCATTCACCCAGTCCTGTTACTGGACACTTGAGCTATTTGTAATCTTTTGTTACGCAAACAATGCCTTATTTTGTATTTGCGTGGGTGTGCCTATAGGATAGATTTCCAGAAGTAGGGTTTCCTACTCAAGGGTATACACAGCCATGATTTTGGTAAATATTGCTAAATGCCCTTCCAAAAGGGTTGTATCATTTTGTACTCCCACCAGCAATGTAGTTCCCTGCAACCTCACCAACAAATACAGTGTCAAACTTCTGGATGTTTAACAACCTGATATGCAAGATATGATGTTCAAGTACAGTTTCATTCTGAGTTTCTCTTATTCTGAGTGAAATGCAGTATCTTTTTCATTTGTCTGAAGATTATTCTTTTTCCATTTATGTCTTTTGTCTATTTTTCTACTAGATTGATACTCTTTTGCTTCTCTTTTAGAAGCTCTTCATGTACTAAGGACATTAGCCCTTTCTTTAATAGGCATTACCAATATTTTTTATTCTCCAATTTGTCTTTTGTGTTTTGATTTTGCTTACAGTAAAATGCAATGATTTCAACTAAGGCATATATACAAGAATTACCAGCAATTTGAATTAGAATAGAGATCAAATTTCCCAGAATTACATATGCTTTGTACATGTGGAATTTGAATTCAGTTTTTAAAATATAGGTGCAAACAGGCTCGTTAAACAGGTTCCTTATAAAAAGAAAATCTCCCAATAGTTGACCTTCTGAAGTGGAAGAGCAAATTTTTATTTAAAAAGATGATGATGTGTATATAAAACTGTATCTGTGTTTATGTGTGTTGGTGGGAGGGATGAGAAAGAAGAGAGTGGAAAGGGAAATCTGTGTGTATGTGTGTTGTGGGGGGGATGAGAAAGAAGAGATTGGAAAGGGAAATAAAACAGTCGAGAAAAGAAGAGGAATTAGATACAATGAGATACGTAACAGGATTGAATAAGAGAGACAGACATAGGGAAAGAGTTCCAGACCAGGAAAAGATGTCTAACATCATCCACAAAACTTAGGGATAATGACCCTGCTACTTTGCCTTCTCCACACCAATCCTCAGGTAAGTCAGTCAGTCAACAGATACTTACTGGATGCCTACTAGGCACTGTTCATGGCACTGGGAATACAAAATAGAGTGAGCCCGTTTTCATGGAGCTTACGTCATGCAGGGAGATTTTGGCTCACTTACTTTGGACAAGTTATCAGAAAAGATCAATCGCTAGAAAGGGACATCATGTTTGGTAAAGCAGCGGGTCAGTGAAAACTAGGGAAACCCTCAATGAGATGGACTGACACAACAGCCACAACAGTGGACTCAAACGTATCAAACACTATGAAGATGGCACAGGACTGGGCAACATTTTGTTCTGTTACATGAAGTGGGCATAAGTCAGAGCCTACTCAATGGCAACTAACAACAGGGAGATTGATGATAAGCACGTAAGCGAATAGATAAAGACATAATTTAAGGAGTTGATGGGTCATATGAAGAAGATAAAATATGGCGGAGAGTGACTGGGGCTGCTTTAGCTACATTTGGGAAGACCTATGTGGGAGACTACAAAAATGGCCACAAATTCTTTACCTTCCATCAAAATATGCCTTGAATATGTGTTAGCCATGTGACTTGCTTACACCAATGGACATTACCAAATAAAACACAAGCAGAGGCTTGAAAAAGGCATGCACACTACCACCCACTCTGACCAGGATCACAAAAGAGGGTCCCAGACAAAGTGGGAGAAAAATGTAGAACAAAATCCAAATTCATAAAAAAGACCAGACGTACTGATCTGATAGAGACTGGAGGAACCCCCAAGACTATGGCTCTTAGTCACCCTTCAAAGTGGATCTGAAGCCACTCCCAGAGATCATCTTTCAGCCAAATAATAGACAGGCCTATAAGACAAAAAGTAACATCCGTGAGGAAAGTGCTCCTTAGAACAATCAACTACAGAAGACCAAAAGGGCAACATGTGCCCAAAAGCAAAGGTGAGAAGGCAGGAAGGGGCAGGAAAACAGGGAACTCAGTGTGGAAATGGGGAGAGTGCTGATATGTTGCAGGGATTGCAACCAATGTCATGCAACATTTTGTGTATAAATTATTGAATGGGAAACTAGTTTGCTCTGTAAACTTTCACCTAAAGCACAATTAAAAAAATAAAAATGAAAATTTAGGGATAATGAAAGGAGAAGCATGTCATGCTACCACAAAGCACCTGATCCAGACTTAAGGCTGGGGATTTTAACCACTTAATAAATAATTGATTACCAACCATGTACAGAATATAATGCTAAAATCAAGGGGATTATAATTTGTTTGAGAAAACAAGGTATTTATTGCAAAAAGGTAACAAATACAGAAGTTTAAAAACACAGTAATACACAAAGATAACTACTTTCTTGTTAGGAAGTAACAAGAACAATCATATTTAATTCAACAAGTCTTTAGCACCACAGTAAAAGACTATGGAAAACACAAATAAGGTATTTAAAGAAAAAACATTTTAAGTAGACAGGTTTAAAAACAATAACCTTATCTCTTGGCTTTTTATGAGAATCGGTATTGCCACTGGACAGTTTACAAACTTTTTTATAAGGTGAATAAGTCAACAGTCCAGGGTGGCTAGGCTGAGCAAGATCTTCCAAAATGAGCCTTTCAAACCTTGAGGAATTACAGGCATAATCGGAAGTTTCACTTGTACTAACACTAGGGGAAAAAAAGGAAAAAAAAAAAATTTAGTTCTTAGATAGTTTAAGTATTCACTACAAATTTTTATACAGTAAGAAAGTAAAAAGAAAAGCATCTGAAATGCTGGAGCCCATTAAATTCTCAGTTATGAACTTAATGTTTCCACTAAATTTTTAAATAAACCATAATTAGTTTTAAACTAACAATCTTTGTATTTTCAGAGCCTCTATACTAGGATTACTTATGATTTTTTTAAAAAGTCATAATAATAAAAGATTAACTATGCTGAAAACATTTTTTTCCTAAACTGAGTTATGTTTAACATTACTGAAAACTATCCATATTTTAGAGGCATATTAGAAATGTAAGATGTAATAATGAAATGCATACATTTTACATTCATAAATTAAAGCCTTAGAATCCCATATGTGATTTTACTTACTTACCTGGATAGCTCTTCCCCTAAATTCTGCAAACTCCATTCTGTTATCTTCAGTTCATGTCTTATGGAAGCAACATTTGCAAGCAAACTTTCTTCTTCATTGTCTTTATTATAGTAGTCTGATGAATTAGATTCCATTTCTTAAAAAAAGAAATGAATTTCTTGTACCTTGCCTGAGAGATTCTGTGATGCCATTCAAAAGTCTCACACTGATAGAATTTAACTCATTATTTTTCTTTTTCAACTATTGTGAAATCTTTCATGGTGGTTTAAAACAAACAAAAACCAGTCAACAGTGACTTTCTCTGCAGCACAAAGCCATAAGGCAAAGCTCTAGATACAAATTCAGTGGATCAAGTTTTTATTATTTTAGCCAGGTTGTAATCATTATAGTTCCCCTTTACTAGGCATATTTAGTCTTACTTACCTACTTACTGTTGCTGTTGTTAGGTGCTGCTGAGTTGATTTTTGACTCATAGTGACACTATGAGAACTGTTCCCACAGGGTTTTCTAAACTGTAATCGTTACAGAGGCAGACTGCCGAGTCCTTCTCCTTAGGAGACCCTGGGTGCATTCAAATCGCCAACCTTTTCGATTAGCAGCAGGATGTTTAACTATCGTGCTACCAGGGCTTCTTATTTACTTACTAAGCACAATTAATTGTATAACCTATTTTTATTCTATTTTAAAGATGAAGAAACTAAGAATCAGGTAAGTTAAATAACTTGCTCAAGGTCACACAAATGGTGGAACCAGGATTTGAACCCAGGTCTCACGATCCAAACACCTTTTCATTATGTCACATTGTAATTTCCCGGTTTATTATATACCAGTTTCAACATGAGGTGTTTGAACTTTCATAATCAGGTCACAAACTCTGGACATCTGATAAAACGGTATCATTACAGTCATTCATACTTTCTCAGAGGGAATTTATTGTCAAATAAAGGTTATCCCCTTCTCCCATTCACAATGGTTATAAAATTTTAAAAACATATACATTCACATGTTGCAACCACAGAGCTCAAAATGTTTGGTAGGTCAACTCAAAGAAATACATGAAGAAAAGCTTTTGTTTCTTCAACTGATGAGTATCTCTAGGGTTGCGAAACTACTAAATACATTTTGCACACTAAAAAAAAAAGGACCAAATTTTATTATTGTAATTAATAAAAACGAAGGCCTTATAATCCTAACTACTCCTGTAGATCTTTCTGTATAATCTTAAAATTACACTCCTCTTTCAGATCTCTTTTATCTTTGTCATTGTAACATCTTTCATTGCCCTTCTTAGAATTCTGACTACGTCAAGCTCCAAAAGGTTAGGAATCCTGGGTATTATGTTCAGGACGGTAAGGCACTCAGAAGAAGCTAAAGAGTTGCTGAATTAGTAAATTACAAAACTGCCCTTCCTGATAAATGTATTTCCCACTCAAAAATTCTCAGATGCATGAGGAAGGGTGGAAAGAAAACTCACCTTCTTTGAAGAAACTGTGGCAGGAACTTAAATGAGATGCTGTATTAATCTTAACAGGCAAACTGGTTCTATCCTCTTTCCCTCTTTGCTTCCACAAATTTGCTTCTGCTTTAAGAAGACTCCCGGACAAAAGTCAATGAATCAGGTCCCCATCCTGCCATCGCTAGCTCCCTGTAGGATGGTCAAGGAAAAATGGGTAAAGGTAATTTGGAGAAATTCTAAAACGCAGTTCGTTAGAATTCTTTCCAACTAAATCAGACTTTATTTCCAACCTTTTGCGCGTATTTTAGAGAAAAAATTTCTCTAACTCTCCTGAAGTAGCAATTAGTACTTTTGCTATTCAAATATTTCCATTTCCTAGTGGGCCATTTATTGTCAAATAAAGATTACTCCTCCATTCAATTTACAGTAGTTACAGACGCCTATCTAAACGATCTGTATATATGAAGCAAGGCACATCGTTCTATGTACAGGCCCTGACAATTTGTCACTTTCTAGCCCTAAGAACAATACGTTTTAGGTGTACACATGCAAACATCTTAGCACACCGAAGGACGAGTGCTATCTTCCCACTCCACCCCTGTATTTAATAGGATGGGCTTTAGGTTTCAGTATTCTGTAAAGAAGTCATAGCTTTAGACGGCATTGTTCTGTCTCAAGAACGCTCAATTTGAAAGTTTGATCCTATGTCCATCTGGAAGAAAGCGGCGGAGAAAAAAGGACCTCCTCCTCTCCCACTTCTCGCCACTAAAATACAACGCTAAGAGCAACGTGCTCAGCATGGGTTGGGGGCCGGCGAAACGCGCAAGGCAGTACCTGCCCAAGGCTGCCGAGAGGAAAAGGAACTCCCTCAGGTAGGCCTGTTAATTACCAGCCAAGGGGCAGTCGCTCACCACCCAAGTCGTAGTTGGGGAGAGAAACCCCCTCGACGACGACGCACTCCGCAGTCTTTTCTGCGCTGGAAGGCTCGGACCCTCTCCCGGCCCCCGGCGTGGAAGCATCAGACATACGACACCGAGAACCAGCGAACCCCGGTTGCACCAAATTCGAACCGCCGCGGGAGCCGTTGGGGACACGTCTCCCCGGCCGCAACCCCGCCCATCCCGCGGGCTTGCGTAAGGCAACATGGAGGCGCAAGGCCTGTCGGGGATCGTGGTCGGCGAGCGTGGCCGAGCTCGCCCGCCAGGAACTACGTTTCCCACAATCGCCTCCACGACGCCCATTGGTGTGAAGAAGCCATGGGAACCTGCAGCGGTCTGCATGTGAGGTGGTACGCACTCACGCCGGGCCTGAAGGGGCAGAGACCGAGGAGGGTGCGGAAAGGGACTTCTGGCCCCGCCCTCAGTCCCTACCCTTTCGAGCACGGCGTTTCCCCTTCAGCGGCAGCCTTTGCTGCCGCCGCGGCTACCGCTGCCTCTGCCACCTGGAATATCTTCAGGCTCCAGGTTTCTCTGCCAACCACGAGGAATCCAGGAAGAAAAAGCGGAGCCCAGGCGCTCATAACCCACTCCTCCCACGCCTTTTCAGCCCGAGATCGCCCCGGCAGGGATGGGCGATAAGATCTGGCTGCCCTTCCCGGTGCTTCTCCTGGCCGCTGTGCCACCACTGCTGCTGCCGGGGGCGGCCAGCTTCACGCCCTCCTTAGACAGCGACTTCACGTTTACCCTTCCGGCGGGCCAGAAGGAGTGTTTCTACCAGCCCATGCCCCTGAAGGCTTCGCTGGAGATCGAGTACCAAGTAAGTGCGGAGGGAACATTAATAAATGTTCCTTTAGCCCAGCTGCACCGCGTCTTCGCCTCTCACCCGCTTTAACTTCTTCCGGGCGGCCTGGGTGATGGAGAGGCGAGGGCCGCTGGGGAACCCGCTAGTTCCGCGCAGGCGCGCGAGGCGAGGCTCTCGAGGTTCCCGGGACTGAGAAGTTAGGCGGGACCTGGAGATGGCCCGCCCTCTGGCCTTTCCTCGGTGGCTAAGAGGCAAGACCTGGTGATGTTGGTGGCTTTGCTCTTTGTTTCATAACACGTCCATCGCTTTTCTAGCTAGTACACGCTCCGATACTGGGAATTTCGCAATACAGAATTAATACACTTTCTCTTGGACGAAGTGATGACGCTTGTTTAAATCACCCCCACCCCTTTCACCCAATTCCGATGTTATGTCTTCAGTGCCTTTCTTTCACTTAAGGATTTTAAAATGTTGCCATGTGATTATCACTAGATCCTATTTTGAAATATTTTGAAAGGGGCTATTGTTGTATTTAATGATAAATTTCCTTCACAGCTATATGGCCATCATTTTTAAATTAAGATCAAACAATGTATTAACGATACAACCTTTCTTTCATTCAGCATTGTAAGCTTTTCTCCCTATGTCATTGTTTTCTTTTTTAGTATCTACACTCCCCCAAAAAAATCAAACCCATCACCGTGGAGTCCGTTCCAACTCGACTCCATAGTGACACTGCAGGACAGAGTCCTTATAGGACTGCTCTGTATGGTGTCCAAGGCTGTAATCCTTACGGAAGTAGACTGTCCCATCTTTATCCCGCACAGCTGGTGGTGGGTTTGAACTGCCGACCTTCGGTTAGTAGCAGAGTGCTTAACCGTTTTGCCACCAGGGCTTTTCGGTATCTACATAAACCACGTTGCCATCATGTGGTTTCCGACTCATAGCGACCCTGTAGGACAGAGTAGAACTATCCCATAGGGTTTCCAAGGAGCGATTGGTGGATTTGAACTGCTGACCTTTCAGTTAGCAGCTGAGCTCTTAACCACTGCACCACTAGGGCTCTAGTGTCTACAGAGTACTCTATTATAGGGAATTGCCTCAACTTATGCAATCATTCTGGTAGAGGGTAATTTCTTAGAAGGAATCTTGTTAGTTCCACACAGTTAGTTTAGATGTTCCAGGTAGCACTGCAAAAATAGATGTGTTGGTGTAGTTCATCTGTTAATTTTTAAGTTGATGTAGAGAATTTTTTAATAACAAAAAAAGACAAAGTTATATAGTAGAATTTTCAGCAGGAAGGAACTTGATGATTAGATTATCGATGCATAAGGTAAGTGTAAAGAGTAAAGTACTTTACCTAAAATCAAAGGGTGAGCAAAACTGAGACTGGAACTTAATTTCCGGTTTAGGTCAGAAGTTCAGCATTTACTAAACAGTTATTATGTGCCAGCAATTGTGCATGGTGTTAGGAAGGAAAAACAAATGAAAAAAAGAGAAAGAGTCCTTGTTCTCAAAGAGGTTAATATTTAAGGGTTATTGGCTCATAAACAGATAATTTCAATAAAACTATCGTTAAGTGCTAATAGAGGAGGACCTCTTCTCTGAGGTTTCAGAAGAGAATTCCTGGAGAAAATATCAAAGTTATATCTAGAAATATGCTTAAGTTACACAGAAACGGAAGGAAAGGGGCATTTCAGGAAAGGGAACAAAATGAATAGAGACACACAGTTCTGAAAATGCATAGTGTGTTTGAGAGTTGGGCAGTGTGTAGTGGGACAAGTAGTTTTTAATAGACTGTAAAGTGTAGCATGGAAGTAGCAGAAAAGGAGATTGGAGAGGACAGGCAGCTGGATCATGGATCTTGAATCACAGCCATAGCATCATTATATGGATGTTTTGGGATTGTAAAAGACCAAATCATATTCATTGGCCAATAAGTGAACCAGCATACCTGAAATACATAGTTCATATCAGGGAGTAGTAGAAGAATATATTGAAGAAGTCAGCTGGAGTTAGATCATGGGTGCATTGAATTCCAGGCTAAGAAGTAGTTATTTATTCTCACTTTATTGAAGAGGAAACAAATCAGAAATGTTAGTTAGCATGCCCTAAATTGCATAAATTTTAAGTCTGTATTTCTTTCCACTCTATAAGGCTTCTCAATGAAGGCATTGTTCTGTTGTTGTTGTTAGGTGCCATAGAGTAGGTTATGACTCATAGCGACCCTACGTACAACAGAAACATTGTCCGGTCCTGCACCATCCTCGCAATCATTGTTATGCTTCAGCCCACTGTTGCAGCCACTGTGTCAATCCATCTCACTGAGGGTCTTCCTCTTTTTCCCTGACCCTCTGCTTTACCAAGCATGATGTCCTTCTTCAGGGACTGATCCCTCCTGATAACATGTCCAAAGTATGTGAGATGAAGTCTCACCATCCTAGCTTTGAAGGAGCATTCTGGCTGTACTTCTTCCAAGATAGATTTGTTCATTCTTCTGGCAGTCCATGGTATATTCAATATATTTCACCAACACCACAGTTCAGAGGGATCAGTTCTTCTTCGGTCTTCCTTATTCATTGTCCAGCTTTTGCATGCGTATGAGGCGATTGAAAATACCATGTCTTGGGTTGAGTGCCTTAGTCCTCAAAGTTTTAGGAAGATTATTTTAGTAATACCCATGAGGCCTAAATTAAGGTGATGGCAACAGGAATGAATGAGAAAGGGACAAGTTCTAAAAATGAATAGAATTGAGCTAGATGATCTTTTAGCTCCTTTCTAGTTCCAACAGGAGTCTCTTGACTTTCTTAACCCTCTAGTTTGAGAAAAAAAATCTTTTCATCATAGAATCTACTTTATGTAATTTTTATATTCAGATTTGTAATATATTCTTCTGTGCTGTTTTGCAGGTGTTAGATGGAGCAGGATTAGATATTGATTTCCATCTTGCCTCCCCGGATGGTAAAACTTTAGTTTTGGAACAAAGAAAATCAGATGGAGTTCACACGTAAGTAATCTCTTCGAGTTCCAAAGGCTGAATAATACCAGTGGGCTGTCTGCAGGGCAGGGTAATTTAACGTATTTGATATTAAAGATCAGTGTTAGATTATTTCAAATGAACATGTTAAGCAATCCCTAATAGTGGGCCATTTTATAAACTAAAATGTCTTCTATTACCCTTGTTTTTGTTTAGGCATTTTGCTTTGATCTTGACTTAATTTCTTCTTTGTTTTGGTTAAATACATGAGTATTCCCTAGTTAGTGTATCCAATCTGTTGTGACATTTTAAACCTGCCTTTCTGGTTAGCACAGGCATTCCACTTTAACTAGGTATCTGTCCTAAAGAGTTTCTTGAACTGCTGCCTGTATCATTTTTGCCCATAGTTTTCTTTATTACAACAGGACGATATGTCTTTGTATGTAGGTGTGTGTGTAACTGTATTTTTACTCAGACCTCACTCTTTAAATAATTAGAAAAAGATCAGAAAGTAAAAATATGATCTTAGGAAACTATATAGAAAGAAAATACTTGTTGTAACTCTTTGAATTTAACAAAACGCCATATATTCTCTTCCTACATCTCACTTCCCTGTTTTCATATCTCACTGGTGTGGTTCTCTTTCATCGTGTTATTTTACTATAGCACTTTCTTTACTCAATTCTGTTACCGTGTTAGAGTTAACATGTGTGTTCATAGGAAGTGGAAGGGTGAATACAGAGTATCTACTGTTTGCCATAGACTAGACTTAGCATTTTATATGCTATCTAAATTAATCTTTCCAACCTACTGTGAGATAGATGCTTTGATTCCCATTTTACAGACAAGGAATCTTTACAGACAAGGAGGCTCAGAGAAGTTAAATACACATTTATTAAGAGGTGGAGGCAGGATGAACCAAAACTATTGCTTTCTACCATACGATGCTTAGAACATCTCTGGCACATAGCACTATGTAAGTATTAGCTATTATTATAATTATTAGTCTTTGTTAACTAAAGCACCTGACATGTATGATGCTCAGTAAATACTGAATGCATGTATGAATGAATGAGGAAAAAAATCTGTCAATCATAATTTTCTAAGATACTAATTTTAAAAGTGGTTTTCAAAATGGTATCTATGCAGAGCACAGAAAAAAAATTATATAAACTATAAATAAAATAGAGAAAGAACAAATTAAATTCTCCGTAGATTGAGATACTTGAAATAAACTATATTTTCTCTTTGATAGGTATATGAACATTAGGAACTAAAAATGCAGTTCATCTTTAAATTTCAGAATGTAAACAATATACAGAATTCCTATCAGTTTTCATTTGTCTCCAGTTTTCTGCTTTCCTTAGATATAAATTAAAATTATAGTAAGAGAAAGAAAAAGGTGTCTTACTGCTTTCTTGCATGGAATTACCTCTCATTAAATCATTGGGAGAAGAGAATTGAGTTTATAACAGTTCACATTTATCAAGTTCTTTTGATGTGTCAGGCTACTGTTCTAAGCACTTTACATATATTATTTTTTTAATTCTTCACCAGAACCCTATGAGATACATATTGTTATTATTCTCATTTTACCAGTGAGGAAACTGAGACATAGAGCAGATAAGTAAGTTGCTAAAGGTTACACAGCTATTGAACAAGGATGTCAAGATCTAAAATCAGGCTGTGGAAGATAATGTAAGCATCCTGAAAATTGAAATGATCTAGCATATTGGAGACAAGAAAACTTCAATATCATTTACACCAACCTTCCATGAATAGTCAGCAAAAACTGAAACACAGTTTAAACTGTGTTTTTTTCCTACTGTGAACTTAGAGGAGAAAAACGTGGAAAGTTAGGTCAGTAGCCATTACATGGCAATAAATCATAATTGGTGGAAAATATGGGTACTAGTGATTTGAGACAAAACAGTAGGATCTGAAGTTTTGAAATAAATATAGATTGATGTAATGATTGTAAGAAGGCATGCTGGAAAACAAAACAATGATCTTAGATTAGAGCAAAACACCAGTTCAGGTCTTCTTTGCTGAACTGAATATGTGGTTCTGACAGGACATTTTAGAAAGGCACATGTTTAATGAAGATTTGTTTTGGTAATACCAACTCCCACACCCCTAAGCCCCCTACTTTGTCCCCAACTTTTAGTACCTTGGCCCTTTGGGTCCTCAGGTTACATAGAGATGACAAATCTTTCTGTGTTCAGAATCATAAGTGATTGTATTGAGGTCGTTCATGAAGCCTACTATGTATTAAGGGAACAGTGCTATTAATTCCTTCAGCCTAGCTCGTGAAGGGTGTATTTTGAAAAAGGCTTAGAGAAGTATAAACACACCTATCTTTCTCCTAATTCAACCTTTTGCATCCCCTTTCTGGTTTCTTGAACCTCTCTGCCCTCACACATATTCACTACAGGGTAGCACTTGGGACATAACCTGGAAAGTTGGAAGGAAGGATCTTTGCCCCAGTTAGGCCTTTAAATTGCAAGCAAGCTCTCAGCATCCTTTGACATACAGTACTTGCTCCAAAACTGACAGGTTTCTAAACAAATCTGGGTTTCACTGAAGATCTTGGCACCAAAGGTATTCCTTGGCTCCTCCCTCATGTTAGGAATAATTGCATAATGCTGCATGCGAACCAAAGGGAAGTATAGGCAAAATGTTCTAAGACAAAAGCAAATACAAGTAAGCACCCTGTTTAATAAGGATGAAGAAATTCCAATATTAGAGGGCTATAACAGAACCTAAGGCTGAACCACAAAGGATAAGAAATATTAATCCAGAGCAGCTTTAACTGCAAATCCCCACTGCTTAGGCAAGTCCCCTAATTCCAGCTAAAATCATCGTTAAGAAACTGAAGAGTGGTAAGCAGAATACAGTCAGAAAGGTTTAGAAGTCATCTAAGTAGACAGGAAACATTGCTGGACATATCAAAACCTGTATTAGAATATCATGGGAATAAAGAAAACAGACTTCTTTCCTGGGACAGAATGAATTCATTTAATGTGCATGTTAGGGATATTAATTTTTATAAAAGGGTCTTTATGATTGCTCTGTATGTCTCCTTCACTTGTTCAGTTTTCAGAGGGTAATTTTATAAACACTGTGGCCTGGCCAAGAGCGTTTGGGTGTTTTTTAACTGGTTTCTTAAAGTGTTATCAACAGTCTCTTGTGAAATAATTAACTGAATAAAAACTGTTACCTCACTGGTATACTATAAAATGTAAACCCCTTTGTCTTTGATTCTAGAAGTGGTATTTGTTTTCTTGTTGTTTGGGGCAAGCAGTAGATGTTGTTAGCCTGTGGAATATTTTGCTCTGTTAACGTGTTTCTCCATAAAAGATCATTAGGAAACCACTTTGCTAAATTTACTTTGCCCAGGCCAGAAGCTAATGAGACCAAGATTATCAATTCACTTTAGCAGTGCATGGCATTTATTCAGTGAAGGTATTGTCACTGAGGGTAAAGCTTTGGTTGTTGCCCATTGACCTCATTCCTAACATTGTAAAGTACACTACAAAGATATGCTTCATCAGTAGGGGGCCTGGGAGAAAACACTTAGTTCAGCCCATCACTGCTTTTGAAAACAAAACAAAACTCAGTTTATAATCTTCAGTTAGTTGAAGATTGAAGGGTAGGTTAGTAGCCATATTTGCAGATGAATTGAACTGAAATTACTTTTAATAAAGTTTATTGTGAGGTATCATGTATCTAGGTTTTTCGTCCTGTCCTTTTCCAAAACATTAGATCATTTACCATAATTTACTTGATAAATGCCAAGCATATCTAAGTTGGAAGTATGTGAATGTATATATTTTCAGGTTGCCCCTTTCCCAAGAATTATCAATTATCTTTAAATTATAAGGAAGTGAGTCCTATCAGTAAGCTTTCCAATTATTGTAAACCATGTTTTTTTTTCTACCTAGAGTTGTATTTTCTTTGATCCCCAAATAGTACAGATAACTGAAAACACATTCTTTTACACAGGGTAGAGACTGAAGTTGGTGACTACATGTTCTGCTTTGACAATACATTCAGCACCATTTCTGAGAAGGTGATTTTCTTTGAATTAATCCTGGATAATATGGGAGAACAGGAGCAAGAACAAGATTGGAAGAAATATATTACTGGCACAGATATGTTGGATATGAAACTGGAAGATATTCTGGTGAGTATGGAGTTTTAATAAAATAATGAAAATGACTAACATCCTGAGGGCTTACTAAGTGATAAGCATTTTATCTACATTATCTCATCTAATATTTACTTAACGCTATGAAGTTATTATCTCCATTTTTTTCCAATGAGGAAATTGTGTCTTAGGGCGATTAAATAATGCTCCTAGTCATATAACCAGATAGAGGCAGAACTAGAATTTGAGTGCAGGCTCTTAACTATAAAACTCTCCGAATGTTTACAAACAGAAGAATGTAACGGTCTGTAGCATACTTAAACTGAGCATTTATGATATACAGGCATTCTTCTCAAGCATAGTTTTTATAACTTGAAATTTGATACTCACTTGGGAGCACTGTTTACATTACCCTGTGACCAGACCTACAGTTAATAGAAACTAGCACTAGACTCAGGAATAAAAACTTATGCACTACCACACAGCTTCTGTTTGAATTGCTTTATGTTTTGTTTATTGTGAACGTGCATAGTGAATGAAGATGATGAGCATGTATAAGAACCCATTTGCTAATAATAGTACTGCCAACCATAGGAAAAAAAGGTTATATTCTTCAGCCAAAGCTAGATGTAATCAAATGCTAGGATTTACTCAGTGATGTTTGTGAGTAGCATATATATACCTATAGTATAGAAATTTCTGCAAAAGAAATAACTTCGTTATTGTAAGTTTGAAATTTTCTAACCTTTGTATTTTGATAACTTTAGATTTCTTAGGAAAGCACCTATCAGATTATAGCAGAATATATCATAGATCAAGTCAGCTTAAGAAGTTGCAATATTAAATGATCATATGTGTAATTCTTTAGTTACTGAGCTCCCTAAGCCTTGGTTTCCTAACCTGCAAAATGGAGATATCACCTATAGAGTTGTTGTGAGGATGAAATACATCATAGCAGATGTGTAAGTGCTTGAAACAGTGTCTGGCACACAGTAAAGTTTAGTTTTAACTTTCTCACTGGCATTACTCTGAATACACACTGAAAGGATTAAGTTCTGTGGACATTAATTTTACCATGAGTTTTTAATCTCACAGTGATTTCATATGTATATTAAACTTAGTTGAATTTTAGAACTGGAAGAAAATTTAGCTATCATTCAATACAGCTCCAACCTTCCTCATTTTCCCCTTTCATTTCATTTTATAGCTAACAGGCCTAAAATGTAAACGATGTACACATAGTTCTAGTCCTAGTCCAGTTTTATTCCCACTCATTTTTTAAAGCTCAACCATATAAATATATGCTTTCAGTTTAAATTTATTCTTCTAACAAAAACAAAATATAAGCAGTTATGAATCTTATCTGTACTTCACTGCATTTACTGTTCTCAACAGATTGATTTCATTCACACAGATAAACAAAATGACCAGACATTTTAGATTTAAATATGGCTTAAATATTTATAGATCTTTTCTAAGAAAAATAAAATCTCTTTCAAGAACATTTTTCATTTACTCCCCAAAATCAGCAAACATGAATAATTTTATGTTTTACTATCACCATAATATTGAAAAGAATTGTGAATGGGTCATAAGTTTATTTGGGGATCTGAATCCCAATCCCATGTTTTTATTTTCATGGAAAATATTGTCAATACTGAGTTACCATTGCTTTATAAATAGGCCCATATAATAAATATTACACTCTGTAGTTGTGTAGGTTTAACAGAACAGTCTAAAATTTTGAGTATATTTGTGCTTGAATGGGGGTTTCAGGCAAGGCTGCTATTCAGGAAGATCTTTCTAGTATTTTCTTTTGCCATAAATAACTCTGATACCATTTTAAATCTCAACTTCATAATTTTACTATACATTCATATACTCCTTTTATAGTTGTGAAGTCACTTATCTCACAAGCACCCCATTATAAAAATAATTTTTTTCAGATGTGCAACTTAGAACAAATCTCGGGAAGCTTACCTTCTGAATATGATCTTAGAACATTATTTTTGTATTATAGATAGATTACTTTTGGATGTACAATATGCACATCTAAAATTGAAATATTTTATTTCATTTTTGTAAGGTAAAAACATTGATGTTTTGCTAGATACTAAATTGGACCAGACTCAAATTCAAAGAACAGGTGACTACCTAAAAGTTGTTGTCAATCAGGTTTCAAAAAAACTTAATCATTTTCTTAGGGTTTCTTATGGGCTAAGAAAGAGATAATTATGTAAAATTTCTGGCACCATGCCACTCAAATATATTTTCATATTATCCATTTTCAGTTAACAATAGCTTTATTCCTTTTTTAAATCACTATTTATAGGCAAAAATGTAAATGTATCATATTTTAAGTAGTGCCTGTCCATTAACTGAATTGTGCAGCCTGTCTGTCTTATGTTTCAACATAAAACTAACATGAATATCAGGGTACTGTGAAACATATTTTTAAGTTGACTTAAAATAACTGAGCATTATTTTATAGTAAAATTGTTTGTTTTATCTTTAGGAATCCATCAACAGCATCAAGTCCAGACTAAGCAAAAGTGGTCATATCCAGACTCTTCTTAGAGCATTTGAAGCCCGTGATCGAAATATACAAGAAAGCAACTTTGACAGAGTCAATTTCTGGTCTATTGTTAATTTAGTGGTCATGGTGGTGGTGTCGGCCATTCAGGTTTATATGCTGAAGAGTCTATTTGAAGATAAGAGGAAAAGTAGAACTTAAAACTCCAAACTAGCGTACTGAACATTGAAAACAGAGGTGGAAAAATGCAATAAATTGTTAGTCAAGGCCATTAATAGTCTTTTCAAAAATGTTTTAGACATTTTCAGTGTGAAACAAGTATAATTTAATGTGAAAGGAAAGTTTTCACTTTTGTCTGTGCAAGTAATCTTATTGATGCAGTTGTACTTATGTGTATAACAGAAATATTTTGCCAGAGTGTAGGTATAATTGAATGAAGCCATATTAACTGTATTTTCGTAAATTTGAAAAAATTTTGCAAATGTCATAGGTGATTTAAATAACTGAACATTGGGCCTACATGCAACAACAGACAATCTGTTTTTAAAAGGTTCTCTCACCCAGGAATTTCTTTGTAAATGTGGCAATTACAAATTAATAAGCTTTCAGTATGTTAAGTTATAAATCATCTGAGAATTACTTAATTATGGCTTAAATATATGTTTAGACGACAAAGGCTCAACTTTTCTGTTTACATATGCACTGCTCCTATAATATAAATAGAAGGATAGCTTTGAAATAGTTACATTTTGGATATTTTTTTAAACTAAATGTTATATTTCAGTGTGAAAATATCAGTAAAAAGTATTAGTTTTCTGTGCTTAGCCTAAATCCCAAAAGCTGACATTTTGATAATTATTAAAATGCAAAGTCATACTTTCTTTAATAAAATTAGCACAAATTTTCCCTTTAAAGTGAAGAATTCGGTCAAAAGTTGCTCAGTCTCTGTAAGGACACATTCTGTCCAGCCCTTAACTAAGGTATGAAATTTAATGAAATGTGAGTGAAAATAACAATTTTATTTTTATCTGTAGCAGTTGTGAAGGAAATATACTGCTAAAAGGATCTGGGCCTAACATAATAAATATCTCCTTTTCTGAACAACTCTCAAAATCATCAGAAACAAAAAGAATTGAGGTATACTTAAGAGTCATATCTGAACAAAATAAAGTTCACTTAAACAGAACCAAAAATAAATGTCTGTAATCTGATTGGCTAATCATGACAATCTCAATATAAATCAGAGGAAGTGCATTTCCAGTCATCTGGAAAAAACTTCATGTATTTGGCTGTGCGTTTTGTTTTTTACAATTGTTTCATTTGGTTTTGAATTATCTTTTGTAAGTATCCAGGTACATTTTTTGAAACTTAAACCCTATAGTAAGTTTCAGCACCGAGTGTACTCTTGTATTAACAATTTTTATTATAACTTTCATAAATGTCCTTTTTGATCAGTATTTATTGATATGGAAGTAAGGACTGGAAAACGTCAGAGTCCCAAATTATAAACACCCAATGTAGGAATAACCCACAAATACATAAAAAGTCTTTGCCATCCTAGCTTATCATAGTCTGTGGAGTCTTATTCAAGTACTAGTAATTTAGCTACGTTATGAATTAAATAGAACTTTTAGGTTATACACATTTGTAATATTCTTTAGGATAAAATATATTGCGTTAGAAACAATCAACTTATAATAAATTTGGGTATAGAATCCATTTGTAGGTTAGTACCACTGAAATTCTTGATAAGTAATGATATCCAGAGACATAGTGGTATAAAAATATAGTTTCCCCTTTAGTCCCTTGGGAGAATAAGTGCTTAGATTTTCCCTAGCCTGAGGCTTTTTAAAAATGAGACAAATACCACGTGATCGATTAATTTACCAAGAAAATGCTTTAGGTGTTTTGGTGTAGCCCCTGTACACATGTAAAGCAAGGGCCAATATTTTCCCCCTTCTGTTAGACTCATAATTAGAAGCAATGTTAGTTATAGTATCATAACTAATATAGCAGGGTACAGATAAAACTACTGAAACTTTTCTATAAAACTGTGATTAAGAATTCTACCTCTTATGTATGGCTGATTACTGTACTAATACTGAATTTGTTACATCATCTTCTACATATATGATTTGTGCCACTGATTTTAAACCTATGACTCAACAACTTCTTACCATATAAAAATACTTCATAATGGCTGTCTTGGGGAAAAAGGAATGTTAAGGACAATTTTATTTTATAGACACCAGGGGAAAGAAGTGAGATTATTTAAGAAGTATAGAAAAAACCTGCAAAAGCTGGAACTTGTGTAAGACAGAAACATTTCAAGAAGGAAAATTCAAATATTTTCCACTAGTAGAGAGGAACATAAAAGTGGTTAAGACTGCACCCTGTTAAAGGATGAAAACCTGCGAGATCCAGAAAAACAAGGTAGTCCTGTCGAGTTCCAGCTCTCAAAGGTTTCACTGTATGTTACCTGTATTTTAAAAAAAGGGTACAATTTGCAAGTTAAGAATAAAATTCTTTAATGTTTCTAAAGGCATAGTATTTATCTGCTTCATGTTTTTAAAATGTCAGTATTCAGTTTCTGAATTAAAATTATGTTAAAATTCAGTAAGCAATTTATCATTTAACAGCTGATTTTATCCTTAATTTTTAATGTCTTAAATTTTTAAAGTACAACATTTAACTAAGGCCTGATTTGCATTTTAATCATTTATTATGTGTTGTTCTTTCATGTGAATATCAAGACTTGGAGGGTAAATAAGTGTTTGAAAATAGTGTTGAAATAAAAATTGAAATGTCATCTTATGTTGTTTATCCTTAGACATTGGTGTAAGTCTTAAAACTGACAAAAAATTGAGTACCTACAATTGTATGCCTCCTCAAATAAAAATTCGTCACCTAAAATTTGAAAAAATTGATTCAGCATGTCATGGTTTTTCATCTTAAGTGTAATAATACACAAGCAGTCTTCTTCAAATTGCTTTATAGTTGTGAACAGCCATTAAATGAGAAATGAAAAACTGAGCCAAATGTATATATAATAAAAATTACTGTCAAGCAACCCTATAGGACAGAGTAGAACTGCCCCATAGGGTTTCCAAGGAGTGGCTGGTGGATTTGAACTACCAACCTTTTGGTTAGCAGCCAAGTTCTTAACCACCATGCAACCAGGGCTCCACTATCAAGGTAAATCTTACTAATTCACCAGTCATTGTAAATGCTCTCTACTCCTTAAAGCCTCCATTGATCTCAACTAAATGTGCTCTCCGTTCCATTTGTGCCTTTCATTGTACATCATTCTGCTTTGCAGTAGAGCTGTTTATATATGTACTTATTCATCTGTTAACTAAACATACACTGTACCTAAAAGGTACTCAAAATAGGGAGAGACAAAAATCATCTGTTCTGAAAAATCTGGAATGCTAAATAAGCACGCACCAAACTTTTTGTACCCTCCATCTGCAAACTCAAATGACCTTCAACAGGTGAATAGTTAAAAACTGTGGTATAACTATACCATGGAATACTATACAGCAATAAAAAGCAAAAACTATTGATATATGCAACAATTTGGAAGTTACATATTTCATTTGGAAATAACAAAATTATAAAGATGAAGCACAGATTAGTGGTTGCCAGGGATTTGGGGGGGAGGAGAGGGAACGTGACTAAAGGAGTAGTACGACTGACACTTGTGATGCAGTAGTTCTGTATCTTGATTATGGTCGTGGCCACATAAGTACACATGATAAAATTGCATACACACACACAAATGAGTGCATATAAAATTTTTCTCTGAAATCTGAGCTCTGGATTGTATCAACCTCAATTTTCTGGATTTGATACTGTATTATATGCACGATGACCTCACTGTACACTTTTTTTCACCTTCCTGTGAATCTATTTCAGGATAAAAATTTTAAACAAAAAAGCTGGGGCAGAAGCATATCTGAAACAGACATTAGTATGTTGGTATATAAATATTTATGAATGAGTAAACTATTAACTAAAACCAAAATAATCTTAGTGAAAAAGCGATTGTCATTGTAGGTACTGGTTCAGTTCTTAAGAATTTCGTTATTAGTATCAAGATAAAACACTGTACTCTTCAGGGAACTTAAGGAATTGATTGAGCCTTATCTTTATTATAATTCCATATTCTAAAATATTTTCCAGAGGTTATTATACTTATTAGAACACTGCCATGGGAAGTCCACAGACTATTCCCCAAATGCTGCAAAAGTCATCGTTCAGCAAATCTCAACAGAGAAGCTATCCTTGACCTTTTCAAATGTTGACTCATGGCATATAGGTGTTAAGGGAAATCTTGAATATCGGATGATTGATTCCCTCATCCAGAAAACTAAAAGTGTTTCCTGGAAAGGATCTGAGAATTAAGGTATATTAAGCACACACAACTGAGAAGGAAATGACTACTGTAAATTCTTAAAATGCCAAGAGATTATTAATTTTAAAACAATTGTGCCAACAATTTCTACTTCATTTATCCCTTGGCCAAATAGCAAAGGAAAAAAGAATGAACAAAGATCAATTTATTTAGCCTGGGGAACAGGAAGAGGATGGAAAACGTGGGTGTCCCATGTATTATCAAAGGAGAGTATTAATGGTGACCCAAGGGAAGATCAGAATGGAATACTTTTCTAATCTCCACAGCATCTAATCCACATTACATGGGTCACAACATACCCATTGCAAGAAAGGCTTAATACTTCAAGAAAACTTTGAGCATTACTAGACTCAGTACTTTGGAGAACACAAAAGGAGAGAATCTATCCTTAAGAGTTGACAGTACAACTGGGGAGGACTAGTATTTAGAAATTTTCAACTCCTACTCTTTTTTCCCAATTCTCAGCTCTGTCATTCCTTGCTCCAGGAAGCTTTGCCAGATCCTTCAAATTTACGTTGTGTCTGTCTTATGTGCTCCTACTGCACCAATCACATCCTGTCATAATTAATGTATACAAGCCTCTACTACACTCTTAAGCCCTGAAGGCAGAAAGCTGCACCCAGCACAATGCCAGAACATAGCATTTTTGATGCAAAGATAGGCATAGTTTATTAAGTGAAAAGTGAAGTTTCAAAATAACATGAATGATCCTTTTTCAGTAAAAGCATATAGGAATCAATTTAAAATTCAAGAAGGCTACATACCATTATCTCTGGGTTCTAGGCCTGGGAGGACTTTCAGAGTATTTTATAGTTTTCAGTGTTGTCTGAATTTTTCTTATCATTATTAGAAATTGTAAAGCTTTCTCACTTGGGGAAAAAACAGTAGAGTTGATATAACATCTCTTTGTTTTCCTCATCTACTACCTCCATCTTTCCCTATCACTGCCCCTTTCATTCCCTTGGAACTGCTTCACTAATTCCCCTTTTTTGTTGCCAGCTAAAACACAACAGTTTGGGGTTATGCAGAAAAGCAGTAAATTAGAAATAGAATTGTTCCCTCTAAGTCAGGTTTAGACAGACAGGAGTACTTTTAGTCCAGATGGGAAAAGTTTCTATTGCAAGAAAATCCAAAATTGGAGAATACTGCAGCCTCCTTAGAAAGAGGGCAAGTTACTTGTTGATGGTGATATTTTACTGCTTTCCAAGGTTCCCTATCACTGAATGCTTTATCATTTTCTAAACTGAAATTT